TTGTGAATATAATATTTAAGCTATTAATCAATGATTATATATACATATCTGATTTTGAAGGAATGATGATGACGACGGTAACACATATGGTTACTGATGACATGCAGTAATTGGTGGTGGTGGTAGATTATGGGTTTAAATTCTTTAAATATGTGAATTAATGTATACTTAATTGTATTATGTTATGTTGTAAATTATATGTATTAAACTAAAACTTGACTCCATTAAGTTGTACATTTTATATAAACTTTATGTTAAAATATGAATAAATGTTTGCATGAAAATATTAAACTGTGTATTATTGAAATAATATGTTTATTAAATTGCGAATGTAGTATTTTAAACTGTGAATATGTCTTATACACAATATATTTTTTAAATAAATCTACAATTTAGAAAAAAAAGCGCAAATTGAATTTATCAAGGCATAAATCTGTTTTTAATTCAGATTTTGTATAGTTGGCTGCAACAAAAAATGGTATCTATTAAAAAGAATTACCAAACGAAACAAAAACTACAATGTTTGTTCTATTAAACTGTGAATACGACCAAATAATGACGTTTAATTTAGTGTTAGTTTAGCGGTGGTCCGACGACGGTTCGACATTGGTCCGACGGTGGTCCTACGACTGTCCAACAACAAGTGGTAACTAGTTGCAAACTATAGAATGTAAATGTTTGGTTAATATAATATTAATGTTTGATTCGTCCAAAATGTCATTAATAAAACAATTTAGAAAATGGTTTATAGGGTTCTTAACCTTTTGAGTTCTCATTTGAACCTTTCTCTCTCTTTCTTTCTCTCTCTCTCTCTCTCTCTCTCTCTATATATATATATATATATATATATATATATATATATATATATATATATATAAAGGTTTCAATTGCATGTTTGGCTAAACACACTGTTTTACATGATTATAAAAAAAATAAATTAAAGTTATAATTCATATCATGGTTTAATAAATAACATGTATGTATAAGATTTTGTAACTTTATCTTTTTCGTTATAAATAACTTTTTATCTTCTTTTTTTCTCGTATCTACCAAGTATGATTTACATCATGGTTTAACAAATCACATAAAGCATCGAACTATTCAACAAAGGAATCCATAGCCAAAAACGGAAGAAAGTAAGAAAGAAACAAGAATGGAGGAAACGCAAAAAGGTTAGGAAGGACAAAAAAATATATATAAAAATCCCTATGTGCGAAAGATTCAAAATCCGTAAGGGTGGAAGATTCAAAACACTAAGATAATGATGGTAACCAATGTCACTTCTTGGAAAAAATGTTGCATCATGCAACCACAACGACAAGAACTAAACACAAGGCCATACTTGACATGTACTAGTCTCACCCATCACAACTAAGCAAGCATGCACCATAATAGCTAATGATATATTTGATTTCAAGCCTTCTCTTTTCTTTGCTTTACAGAATTTATCTTTCTATCTATCAGTGAAGACTGAATTTAGGATTTGGCAATTATTGATGGAATTCCTTCCTTCTTTCTTGAAGTGACAAAATGGGGACTTAATGACGTGCCTCTTGGCCACGTCAAAGGGATTAACAACACTAATGCCCAATCCATGCTAGACGGATGACTCATCCTTCAAGGCCTAACTCCCTAAGCAGTCGAATGGCAGACCAACTGCCCATCCCAAAAGAAAGTGTACCTCATGTCAACCTTGTTGTTTGATGACCGGCCTACAATATACACAATAAAGTCACCATGCAACAAAGAAACACATACAAGCTCTAGTGGTAAGCACTACCAATACTTCTGCTAAGCCAATCACAGCTCATACAAGAGACAATGGTACAACCCACCAATCACTTCCATTGTCTTGAATCGGGCGTGACATGTCCCATAAAAGAGGATATATGTCAAGCGCCTCACTACATAGACTATATAAGGTGTAACAACCTGATGTCTTCTCCTTTTGTACCACGACTGCCACCTGAAATTAGAACACTTTACAGCCCAGGTTTAATCATGAATTTATAATAAAATCTATATATTAAATGTACAACAAGGTTAATATAATAATAACAACCTACTATCTAGTTTTTAACCTTGTGCCATGTCTTCTCCTCTTGTACCACAACTAATACGTGAAACATGCAAAACATAAAACATATCTACAACATCAGACACAATGTGTTTGGTGGGTTATTCTTCTATTTCTCTTTTCCTTATTTTTCTCATAATTTATCATATAACTCCTTCTTTCATAGCATATGTTGTTATCATTTATCTTATTATCTATCCATTCCCCTCTAATCTCATATTCTCATCCCTTACTTTTTACCAACTTCTTCTCATGCTCATCTCATACTCTTTCTTTGTTTTTATTTATTTTGATTCAAGTAAATAAACTTAAATTCAATAAACCATATTGAAAGCGTTTTTTTTTTTTTTTTAATTTTTTTTTTTTTTTTATTTATTTATGAATCGAAACATTAATGTTTTTTTATTTTTATTTTACTTTATTTTTTTTATGTTGTTCTGGTTCATGTTTTCTTCACTTTGATACTCCATAGTTAATATCGTTACCAATTTTATGTTCATTTATCATTATAATTATTTCACCATTTGTTTTTTATTATATATTTTTTTAAAAAGATTTAGTTATTTATTATTCCTCTATTGTTTATATTTATTTTGATTCAAGTAATGAAAAATCGAAAAAAAAAAAAATCTCAAAGACCAAAATTGTAATATACTCTAATATTTTAATACATTTTACACTTTTCATATTTTTTTAATTTTTTTCGTATTATGTTTTAGTTTTTTCATATTTTTATCTTTTCTGTTGCTTCATTTTATTTTTCATCGATTTGATAAAAATAAGTTGACGTTTTTCTAAACGTGTAAAATGTATGAATATATTAGAATATATTACAATTTTGGTGTTTAAATTTTTTGGTTTTCAATTTTTTTAAATAATTTTGGATATTTATGGTTTTTGTAACTTTTTGTAATTTTTTTTAATTACTTGAATCAAAATAAATAAAAACAATAGAAGAGTAATAAATAACTAAAATTATAAAAATAAATAAAAAAACAGAAGGTGAAATATAATGATAAATATAAATATAAAGTTGCTAATGATATTAACTATGAAACATCAAAGGTATAAAAAACATGAACCGTAATAACATAAAATTAAAAAAAAAATTAACGCTTCAATTCACAAATAAGAAAAATTAAAGAAAAAATGATATCGACATGGTTTATCGAATTTAAGTTTATTTACTTGAATCAAAATAAAGAAAAACATTAAAAAACCCATAAATAACTAAATTTATAAAATAAAAATAAAAAACAAATTGTCAAAAAGAAAAAAAAGTTATAAAATTGTTCAAATTGTATATATACATACATACATATATATATATATATATATATATATATATATATATATATATATATATATATATATATATATATATATATGTAATTTTAAATATACAAAATTACACAAATGGTCATTGAGATTTGTAGGATATTACAAATTTGGTACACGGGTAAAATAATACTTTTCATTAAAATCTAACAATTGAAAAGTTAGATTTAACGGTAGAAGGACATTTCATGTAATTTTGCAAACCACAGGGACTAGTGGCGTGACGTTTTCATTGAAAGTCCTCAAAGTGCGATATTTTACAATCATAAGGACCAATTATGAAATTTTGTGTATATTATATGTATTATGTGGTTTTTTAATTTTAAAAATTAGAAAAATGTAGAAATTGATATGTAGATTCTATTAATTTCAAAAATACTACAAAATGACAAGTGTTAAAGCTTATGATAGATTGACATGTGACAAAATGGTTTTTTATTTATTAGAGTAGATTTTTATAGAATAACAAGTAAGTGTAAGACTCATATATTATATGGATTTATTTAAAAGAAGAATTAAATATGAAATTTTAAACATTTGAAAAGTTAGAATTTATAAGAAAAATTAGAAAAATATTGAATTATTTTAAATTAAAATGTTTTTTCTCTTTTAAATTTAAATAATAATTTAGATAAATAAATAAAAGAAACTAATGAGGTTTTAATTTATAAATTTTGAAATTAAAAGGAAAATCAATTAATAAAATTGATATACATTTATTATTATATTTATTGCAATTATTACATTTAGACATAATGTGAAATTTAATAAAATGAAAAAACCACAAAATACCATATGAAAAAAATTTAATTAAAAATAACCACAAAATATGACATATAACCAAATCAACAAGGCTGGACGGAGTCGTGCGCTATGCGACCCTTGCTATGGCTCGCTACAGTTGCTGTACACCGCCTCATGGCCCTCGCCAGGAGGCTCGCTAAGGGATTGTCGCTACCGGCTAAGCAAGAAGAGAGAGAAAGGTTTGCAATGATTTGATTAGCTATTGAGTTTTGACTTAGTTCACCTTCTCTTATTTCTTCTCTGTCTGTGTTTCCGATGTGGTCGTTCACATCTCTGGTCAAACAGTTGATCGAGCTATTAAACCCCTCAACACTCATAAGGATACAACAAATAGGATATTTTTTCTGCTGAAAACAAATTCGTGTTTACTGAAACCCTATTTATTGAAAAGGGGATTTTACTGTGGAAGCAAATGAATCTCTTTGAATTAAGGATAATAAATCTCAAAAAGGAAGCCCAACACATATTAGTTACTGTTTCCAATGTTATTTATTTATTTTTTTTTTCTCTTTATTTAGAGTCTTTGTGTTAAAAAAATAAAAATTATTTAATATAAAATGTTTATGTATTAAAGAAATATAATTTATTTAAGTTTAAAAAAACAAAAAAAAACAAAGATTGCTAAAGATGTTACCGTTTTTTATAAAATGTTAAGAAAAAAATGCTAACAAATGTGACAGACAAAAAAAATTACATGGCAGTAAAAAAAAATAACATCATAAGTTGCTAGGAGTGCTACCGTTGGCAAAACAAAAAGATTTTCATTTATTTATTATTTATTAGAGAAGATTTTTTTTTTAATTAATTTATCAATTTACAATATTGGTTAAATGAATAGGGTAAATGAACCCTTCTGCAAATTTCTTTTCGCGTCGATAGCATTGTTCTAAACCCTCCTGCAAATTTCTCAAATCTAGTTAGGGTTTAGTTATCTAGTGGGTATAGCAAGGCTGGTTTGAGATGGGCGTGCCGGCGTTTTACCGGTGGTTAGCCGAGAAGTACCCGATGGTGGTAGTGGATGTTATAGAGGAAGAACCCGTTGTAATCGACGGCGTTAAAATCCCGGTGGATACAAGTAAACCTAACCCTAACAAGATCGAGTACGATAATATGTATCTCGATATGAATGGAATTATTCACCCGTGTTTCCACCCTGAAGACCGGGTAATGAATTTCGAATGAATTTTTTATGTTGTTTCTCGTTTGGTTTATATGTTTATTCTATATGTTTATTCGTATTAGTTTCTATACATGCTTTACTGTCCTTGAAAATAATTAATTGGGAGCTTCATTGACTAAATATCAGATTCAAGGTTGATGAAATGTGCAATTATTCAACCGAATATGATCATTATAGTTTTCAAGAAAAGAAATATGATTAGCTTTAAGCAACCTTGATCTGATTATGATTTTCAAGTTTATTGGTCCTTTCAGTATCACTGCTTTCTGCTTTTTTTTTTTTAAAACTTTGATATATTAGAATCTGTTCTTATCTGATTAAATAGTGTGTGGATGAGCCTTATACATTTACATATTGCAAGAGTCACATTATGCAATGCTATGTTTGATGTATGCTTAGTATTTTGAATAGGCATTATAAATGTTTTACCTTTTATATAATTATACATTGGCATCAAACACTTAATTGTATCAAGTGTACAATATACCTCTAAACATTCATATAACAAAGCAAGAAACCATGCCAGAATGCTCTTTTCACATGATGCTATATATATATTTTTCATATGTTTATAACCTTATGATTAATTATTTATTTTCCCATGTATACAGCCTTCTCCAACCTCTTTTAGTGAGGTGTTTCAGTGTGTGTTTGACTATATTGACCGGTTATTTGTAATGGTGAGACCACGAAAACTGCTTTACATGGCTATTGGTAACTACTAAATGCACTTTTATTCATTTTTATATATTTTTTATGAGTTTTGATTTGGAAAATTTTGCTTAACTTTTAAATATTTATTAGATGGTGTTGCTCCAAGAGCAAAAATGAATCAGCAACGTTCAAGGCGTTTTAGAGCAGCTAAAGATGCAGCTGAAGCAGTATGTACCTTTTTCTTATATCCACTTCTTTAAAAATTCCACATATGATAAATATAATCACAAAAATGTGTGGGCCCCATTTAACAAATTGACTTTTTTTTTTAGAGCAATATCAAATAACAACCACCTGTTTCATAATGGATCCATTGCAAAATTACTTTTACTTACAAAAGTCTGCAAAAAGTTTTTATTTTTTTGTTGCAAAATTACATCATCTTTTCACAAGATATGATTTTTTTTGACCTCTTTAAGTTCTTAAATCGTTTTCCACATCCTTTTTAGCTAAATTATACCCATTATGAATAAAATATAACTGAAATTGGCATATTTTACACCAAAGATTGAATCTTGATACTTGTGACATATGTTTTGTAGGCAGCTGAAGAAGAAAGATTGAGGGAAGAGTTTGAAAAAGAAGGAAGAACACTTCCACCAAAGAAAGAATCACAAACTTTTGATTCTAATGTCATTACACCAGGAACCGAATTCATGGCTGTTTTATCAATTGCTTTACAATATTATGTCCACAAAAGATTAAACAATGATCCCGGATGGAAGTCTATAAAGGTATTTGACTATTTGACTATGAGTATTTTCTAGTTTTTGATTTATTTTTCATTGTTGTTGATCTGATTATGATTTTTATGAAGGTTATTCTTTCTGATGCAAATGTTCCTGGTGAAGGGGAACACAAGATCATGTCATATATTCGTCTTCAAAGAAATCTCCCAAGTTTTGATCCAAATACTCGACATTGCTTATATGGTTTGGTAATAACTACACAACTCTTTTTTATTTTTTGAGTAAATTACTGAAATCGTCCCTGTGGTTTGGTCAAAATTGCACGTTTGGTCCCTAACTATTTTTTTGCACTCGGATCGTCCCTATGGTTTGATTTTGTTGCGTTTTTCGTTCCTGGGGTTTGATTTTGTTGCATTTTTCGTCCCTTACATACATAAAGTTAGGGACCAAACATGCAATTTTTACCAAACCATAGGGACGAAAAACGCAACAAAATCAAACCACAGGGACGATCCGAGTGCAAAAAAAAATGTTAGGGACCAAACGTGCAATTTTGACCAAACCATAGGGACGATTTTAGTAATTTACTCTTATTTTTTTAAATTACTTTTCTTTAAACTCAATGTTACATAAGTTTGTTAATTTACAGGATGCAGATTTGATAATGTTGGCTTTGGCTACTCATGAAGTTCATTTTTCAATACTTAGAGAAGTAAGTGTTGTATAATTAACTTACAAAAACTAGTGAAATTAGCATACACATGTTGTCCAATTTACGTATGTATGTGTGTATGTATGTATGTATGTATGTATGTTCTCATTGTTTTATGTTTTAGGTTGTATTTATAAAAGGAGAACAAGGCAAGTGTTTTGTTTGTGGTCAATCAGGTCATATGGCTGCTGGTTGTAAAGGGAAGGTGAAGAGAAAGGCAGGAGAGTTTGATGAGAAGGGAGGAAATGAAGAGCCTAAAAAACCATATCAGGTACACATAATTGGACAAATTTTCTATGATGAGGGCATTTATGTCTTTTGCTCAAACAAGAGATCAAGTGCAAGTCCATGTCCAACCTTTCTGTGTGGGACCCAAAATTTTAATTTTTGTCTCAATTGACATTATTACAATTAGAGTAAATTACACGAATGGTCCCTATGGTTTGGGGTAATTTGCACTTTGGTCCCTAACTTATCTTTTTAACTCGGAATGTCCCTACAATTTGTTTTTGTTGCGTGCTTGGTCCATGTCTTACCTAAGAAGACTATTTTGCCCTTGATTTTTTAATTTATTTAAGGTAAGGTAAGGTAAGGTGAGGTGGAAGGGAGGTTGGGGGTGGGGATATTCCGAGTTAAAAAAATAAGTTAGGGACCATTTGTGTAATTTACTCTTACAATTATGTAGAATACAAATTGGGCTATAATGACTCATAATTCTTTAATAATTGTTTATGTTTTTTTTTGCAGTTTCTCAATATTTGGACTCTTAGGGAGTATTTGAAACACGAGATGCAAATTCCTAATGTTGAGATTGATTTGGAGAGAATAATTGATGATTTTGTGTTCTTGTGTTTTTTTTGTTGGAAATGATTTTCTACCACATATGCCTACATTGGATATTCGTGAGGTGTGTTTTTAAAACCTCTCTTGTATCTCTCATTATTTATAATTCTATTTGTTACATTTCAAATCGTTTGTAACTCTTATTATTTGCCTTTTCAGGGTGCCATTAATTTACTATTTGCAGTATATAAAAAAGAATTTAAGGCCATGGGTGGATATTTGACTGATGCAAGCAAGGTGATTACTGATTACTGATTACCTGTTCTTTGCTTAATGCATCTTTTTTTTTTTTTTTTTTTTGATTTAATAAAGAAAGTTATAGAAATTTTCTAAAAATTTGCACTTATTTGTTTTTCATTCCCATTTTCTATTTTTATTGTTTCAGCCAGATCTTGTTAAAGTAGAGTATTTTATTCAAGCAGTTGGATCATATGAAGAGGCTATATTTCAAAAGAGAGCTCGTATGCTTCAGGTATAAATTCCCACTTACACATCTTTTTCATTCAATCATTCATGTTCATGTTCATAAGCAAAACAAAAGATAACATAAAAGAAAAAAAAATGTTTTAAGTTTAGGTATAGGTCATGATTTTGTCTAAAAGAAGAAAAAATGCAAGAGAAAAAGAAATCAAGGCTAAGGGGTTAAAATGATAAATCCTTTTCTTTTAGAAGCAAAGGGTTAATCTCAAAAAGACCTTATATTTTGTGTTTTTTTTTTTTCCAGATTAAACCTCAAGTTTATTTTTTGCCTGAAAACGCCTTGTGTTTTTTCATTGTTTCCGATCTGGCCCTTTTAGTCATTTATTGCCATAAAAAGTTGTAAAATGCGAGAGTTTTTTTCGAGAAAAACTAATAAAGTTGAGGGGCTTATTTGAAAGCATTTAGAAGGTTGAGGTTTTTTTTGGAAACAAAATAAAAAGTTGAGGCTTTTTCGAAAAAACGAAAAATACAAGGTCTTTTTCAGACAAAATAAATCTGAGGTTTAATCCGGAAAAAAACACAAATTATAAGGTGTTTTTTGAGATTAACCCAAAAGCAAACAAGTAAATTTAAAGAGTTACACTACATATCTATTATTAATTAGTATATAGTAATCTTTCAATCTTGACATTTTTGGCCCAAAACTTTTTAAAATTTGACATTTGTGGTTTTTTTTCTTTTGTTGCATTGTGCCACTAAACTTTTTCATTCTTACACTTTTGGCCCCTTATTACAAAACTTGGTGGTCTTCAAAATTTGGGCACAATATTTTCCACAGTTTGGCAAGTTTAGTCCTTCAATTCTCAAAAGCTTAAGGAATAGTAAAGTTCCTTTGTTTTAGACATTTGCCACTCAACTTTTTGATTCTTACACTTCTGGTCCCTTGTTACAAAATTTTGTGGTCTTCAAAATTTAGCCACAATATTTTCCACAGTTTGGCATGTTTAGTCCCTGCCGCCTTTTATTGTAAAAAAACCGACCTGGGGCGAAACCCGTTTTTACTAGTTATTAAAAATATAAAACAAGGGTACAATAGTAATTTTGTATGGTTTTAACTTTTAACACTCAAAGTTTAACAACATAAACCAAATATGTAACTTAATACCATTACAAAAACAGCTGATGCTCACATTAAAAAAAATTGGACTTGATTGAAAAAACCATATAACTTGAAGGACCATTTCTGTAATTTCCTATTTTTGTTTTGTTTAGAAACAACTTGAAAGGGTGAAACGTGACAAGGCTCAAGCAAAAAGAGGAGACGATGGTCAACCATGTGTTGACCCGGACTCATTGGTCCCGATCACCCGGTTCGATGGTGCACGGTTAGCATGTGGTCCTTCACCTTCACCTTACAAACAAAAACGATCAAGAAAAGGTGGGAAGAAAAATGAACACCAAGTTAAGCTTGCTACAAAAGACTTATCTGCCCTTGAACTTGATATCCAACACAAAAGACCAATGCAATGTGATGATGAAAAAATCGATTTTCGTGCTAAAAAAGTTGCACGTTTGACTTCTGGGAATACTGTTGGAGCTGCAATTGTGGAAGCAGAAACAAGTCATGAAAGACAAGTATAAATCTTTTTTCAACAAATTACAGAAAACCCCTTATATTTTCGGCAGTTTTGCAGTTTAACCCCTTCAACTTTATCTTTTCCGATTAGGCCATAAATGTTACTGGTGAAACTTGATATAACATGTGAAACCTGATTTTTCCAAAGAAGTATAAATCTTTTTGACTAATTTTTCAAAATTAATCATTTTGACCTGATATAAAACAGGTAAAAATGGTTAATTTGGAAAAATTTACTGGTGAAACTTTATATAACATGTTTAAAGGGTGAATTTACCTGACTTTATTTTGTGAGCAATTTACAGAAAAAAAAATCATTATATAGTATGAAATTCTGTGGTTTAACCCCTTAAACTTTATTCTTTTCTAATAAAACTATTTTTCCAATGTAAACTTTTTTGACCTAATAATATAACAGGTGAAAATGGTTAATTTTGAAAATTAGCAGTGAAATCTGATATAAGTAAGAGGTTAAAATGTTTGCAACTTCTATGGTGTTTAATTGAAAAAAAATAAAGTTTACTGGTTAAAACTGCAAAACTGTCCAAACTATAATGATTTTTTAGTTTTTGTTATTTTTATATACTGTTTTATGGAAGTTGGGTGGTTTAAGTAACTCCTGTTGAAGTCAAGGGACCAAATTGTATTTAATTTTGTTAAGTCTTATTTGTTTTTAGGCATTTGAGAACAAAGAAGAATTAAAAGCAAGGTTAAAGGGTGTACTTCGTGAAAAGTCTGATGCTTTTAACTCTGAGGAGCTGGAAGACAAGGTTAGATCTTAAAATCATTGTATTGATTATGCTAAAGCAAAAGGGTATATAAGTAATTTCACTTTACTCTTTCGATAATCAGCATCATTTCAACTAAATAATCCAATAATCAAACCGATTATTTGACCTCTAAATAATGGAAGAAGTAGTTTACGCAAACACTAGAAACTGATTATTGAGATAATACAAGTACAAGGGTATAAAAGTAATTTCACTTCCGTTTTTTTTCAAGATTAAATTGGGTGCCCCTGGGTGGAAGGAGCGGTATTATGAAGAGAAGTTTTCAGCCACAACTATTGAGGAGATGGATGCAATAAGGAGAGATGTTGTAAGTCTTCTAAAATTGTTAAAAACTTTGTCAATCATTTACAATTTTTTATGATATAAAATCCTTTTATGACAATTTATTTGATACAATTGTTTATAGGTTTTAAAATATACAGAAGGCCTATGTTGGGTGATGCACTATTATTATGAAGGTGTTTGTTCATGGCAATGGTAATTTTTCCCCTTTAAGGTTTTGTTGTGTATATATATATTTTTTATTTTTGATTTCTAATTTTTTTTTTCAGGTTTTATCCTTATCATTATGCACCATTTGCTTCTGATCTCAAGGATCTTAATAAATTAAATATAAAATTTGAGCTTGGGTCGCCATTTAAACCGTTTAATCAGCTGCTAGGGGTTTTTCCTGCTGCAAGGTTAATATCGTCCTTTTACCTTTTTTTGAAGATTAATATTTTCTTACTTTTTTTTTTATTGGTTTCTTTTTCACCTTGAAAATGTAGTGCACATGCACTTCCAGAACAATATAGAAAATTAATGACAGATCCAAACTCGCCAATTGTTGATTTTTATCCAACAGGTATGTAAAAAATAAGCTTTTTTTTTTTTTTTTTTTCTACTTTATATATTTATAAATAGATTTGAATTTTTTTTAAATTTCTTTTGTTCTTCAGATTTTGAAGTAGACATGAATGGAAAACGGTTTGCATGGCAGGTTTATCATCAATCTTTTTATTAATCTATTAATCTTTTTTTTTTTTTTTTTTAACTTGAAACCTTTCCGATTCTTTTATTTTTTTTTACTAAAAAACGTTTTATTTTCAGGGTATAGCTAAGTTGCCTTTTATAGATGAAACTCGTCTTCTAGAAGAAGTGAAAAAAGTAGAACACACTTTAACGGTATGTTACGTAATTTAATTTTAAATTAAAAAAACTTGAAGATTTCACTTCTAATAATTCTAGCTGTAATTTTTGCTTTATGAAGAACGAAGAAACACAAAGAAACAGCAGGATGTGTGACATGCTTTTTGTGTCTATATCACATAAGCTTTCTCCATACATATTTTCTCTCGATGACCAAACTATAAAATCTGGATCCAAAAAGCGGGCCCAAATCAACCAACAAATCAAACCTGAATCAAGGTTTGTTGTGAAATTACCAAATCGCCCCTTACACTTTTAACTATTTTTCTTATCAAACTTTTTGTTATGTGTAGCGATGGAATGAATGGCTACTTATCTCTTCCTTCAGGGGATCCATGCCCTAAAGTTTTCAGATCACCTATTGAGGGATTAGAAGATATCAAAGACAATCGTGTCATGTAAACTCCAAAAAATTAATTAATTGTTTAATCATTTCCTTAATTTGGTATATACGTGATTAATTACTATTTTACTAATTACTATATTACCCTTCAGTTGTGCAATATACAACCTTCCGGATCCTCATCCCCATATACCTCGCCCCCCTCCTGGGGTTAAATTACCAAAAAAGGTAACGCTTATATCAAATGTCATTCAAATAAAAACTTTTTATTTTTTTAGTAACAGCTTTATTTTTTTATGTAGACTGTAACGAAGGATGATTTGACAGAAACACCTGCCTTATGGCATGAGGACAGTGGTCCCAAACATTGGGAAAATGGAAGGTGTGTTTTTTCCGTTTTAATTTAATATTAAAAAAATCAAATATTTGAAAACCAATGCAAATTTTCAGAATGCTCTAATAATTTTTGGATTAATAATTGTAATTCAGGAATTCAACATTCCGATCCAACGGGCAGAATACACACAAGAACCCGCCCGGATCTATTTCCGGGCAGCGGCTGGCTGTGGCGGCTCACAGACTTGTGGTCAACAGCCTACAAGCCAAAACCGCCGCCGCACCACCGCCTTTTCAACAAACTGGACCCCATAATCATGCCGCCCAAATAAACCGCCACCGCCGGAGCGGCAATGACTCGGGTGAGCCGTTGTCGGGGCAGCCTCAGGGTGGTGAAAGGCGGAGAAATAGGCGGAACCGCTACCGAAGTGCGGGTGGTGGTGGTTCTCATCAGGATGGTGGTTCTAATATTGAGGGTAAATCGTCTGGTGGGATAAATCAGAATCAGAATCCGGTCAGAATGTGGGTGCCCCGGGCAGGTCAAAGTGGTGGTGGGGCAACCACAAAGCCGCCTCCGAATAAAGGTGGGAAATTTACAAAGCTGCCACCACCACCACCACCACCACTACCGCCACAACCGCCACCAGCTCATGAATGTAATAAAGTTATTTCAAATCCACCACCACCTCCCCTTGGAAATAAAAAAGTTAAAAAAAGGGGGAAGAAAGTTTACAAAGCCGCCAACACCGCCACTGCCACCACCTCCACCACCACCACCACCACCACCACCATGAGCTCATGAAAAGAGGCATTGAGTCAATTACTCCCCATGTTTTAGGTTATATCATATAGTTCTTCATTTATTCATAACTTCATTTTTGTTGTGTCTTGTTATAATCGTTAGATGCTAACATTTTGGTTTTATTTAGAACGCCATTTTCATTTTTTGTATTTTTATTTATGATATTTGAGAAAAGAAAGATATTTTAACAGGAGAAAAATTAGACGCAAAACTCTATTCATTGTTCCTTTGGTTGTTTTTGGTACCTTTGAGGTTAATTAAACTTATTTCACAAACACACCACGATCTCTTTATACTAATATAATAATAGTTTATTTTTACCATATATTACCATATTATATTAGATAGTTACTTTTACCATATATTACCATATTATATTAGATACTACCATATTATAATATTAGGCCTTCTGTTTAATGCTATGCTATTTGTCAATCAACCAATTGAATTTTTATTTTAAATTTCAAAATTTTTATTTTAATTATATTAAATTACTAACATTAGAATAAAAAATAAAATAATATTAATACAAATGATATAACTTATGTATTTATTTGAATCAATGATTATAATTTTATATAATTAAAAATATCTTTTAATTATCAATTTATTTAAAATAATTAATTAATAATTTTGAAATTTTGAGTTTGTATTATAAGCTAGTAAAGTTATAGAAATGTATTTCTGAGTGTTTACTTCTTAAATAGCTGGTTATATAAGTTTTTCATATCAAAATTTATACAAAGTCACCTTATATCTTAAATAATACGTTTTCAGGTTGCTATTAAATTAAAGATTGCAAAAAAACCCTTTTAAGCTTACAAAATTTGTGTTTTTACTCAAAAGTATTCTTTTTCTTGTAAAAAACATATTTATATGTTTATTTGAACGTTATTTATTTATTATTACTTTTGTGTATTAATATGATTTTTTCTTTATGAATATATATAATATTAAAAAAATATATAAATGCTTAAAATAAAATCATAAATTATTTGCAAATTAAAGGAAAATTCTTTTTTGAAATAAAAAAACTTAATAATATTTAGACATTAACAAACAAAAACCATCATAAAAACAAAGTCAAACAAAATAAATATAGATGAAAAAGTTAAATATATTAGCTATTTATAATTTATAATATTAAAATAAATATTGGTTAAAAACCCAAGGACCCATGTTTTTACGCATATTGATGTAGATTTAGCTTTAACATGTTACTTTTGTTGTCATAGCTGATGCAATGGATGTGACTTGTGTCCCCTAGGAGCCTTTCTCATTCCCAACTTGTGTATATCATTTTCTTCCTTTTCGTTGTAGAAGTTTCACATGCATGAAATTCAACTTTTGTTATCCAAGTCTAGTTGTTTCTATCAACATATCATGTCCTCATGTGTCCATAGCTACAAAATGTGATACGTTTTGTACAAATATGTCCAACAAGTTTTACCATCTCCATCCAACCTAAAAAAAATGTGCAAATTTGATCCAAACTATTAGAATTTGTCATTTAAATGATCCACTCGTTTTATCTTAATGAAAATGTGATTGTCGATATCTATCTTTCTTTATCCATTAAAATAAGATTACTAAGACTGTTACTGTTATTCTTGCTGTTTATATACTATATTATTTAAAGTCAAGATATATTTTGAAATTCAATTCACATATCATTTTGATTTGGTTTAAAATTTTAACTTCTAATAATATTATTTTTGTACTCTTCAATCCAAAATAAAGATTTTTTTTTTCAAAAGAAACGGTTAATATATATATACACCTCTTTGGTTAATGAAAAGGAGATATTTAATTTGAATTTCATTTCTGTTAGGTTAATGTAATAGATAAATATTAAACTATTTACTTTTATATGAAATTATGATGTTATAAAATATCATAAATAGGTAGAGACTATTTATTTTTCACGACACACTATTAAATAATGATATTTTATAAACACACTTGGCTAGCTAGCTATTTATCTTGTGACAATTTTTTTGTTTTTCAAACAATATAATATATAAAATAATAGTTCATAATCTATTTATAATATTAACTTTTATTTAACATTTTCAATATTTTGATTCAAACCACTTCCATAAAAAATGCTCAAATGGTATACGTGTGAAGGGAATGTGAGAGTCAATAGCGTTTAAAGTAAAGTGGGGAGGAATTCAGGAGGATAAGAGGAGACGACATTACACGTGTGGATGGACCCTTTCGCACAAACTTTTAATTAATTATTTTATTTTTATTTTATTAATTAATAATTAATAATTAATAATTAATAATCCAATTTTCAAAGACTCTTTTTCCGGTCTCCACCTGCCGTCACAAAATTTGCGTTTGGGATAACTACTTTCACCCAATTCCCCGACAATCACCTTCTTAACTTGCACATTCATACTTCTAAAAAAAGTATTGTTTTATCTTGAGTATCAATTCTTATTCACTTACTTATAAATATATCAAGTTAAATTATATGTGAATATTTAGTTTGACTCAATTTAGCTTAAAATTAAATTTAAATTATAACAATATGTTCTTTTTTAATATTTAAAACAGTTCGAGATTTGTTTTTCAGTTTTCAAATCTAAACAAGTTACTTTTCAGGTTTCCGTTTTCGATATTTTCCGGTAACTAAAATAACTCTCAATATCAACACATTAGTTGTTTATGATATTTACAAACTAAAAATAAAATATTTATAAATGCACCGAATCTATTTTGATTTGAAAAACTTGACTGGTTTTATCTATCTTATCACCTTTAATAAAATTTTAAAGTTCTAGTTTCCATTGACTAATTCAATTATAATTCTTAGATGATGATTTCTCAATAAATGGTTTCTTTTGTGAGTTAAGAATCATCATCCCTAATAATTAAAAATAATTTTATCAAATATCATCTTTTCATTAACTTAGATACATATCATTTTGTGGTTATTTTTAATTAAATTTTTTTCACATGATATTTTGTGGTTTTTTATTTTTTTTTCATTTTATTAATTTCCACATAATATTTAAATCTAATAATTGCAATAAATGTAATAATAAATGCATATCAATTTCATTAATTGATTTCCTTCTAATTTTAAAATTTCTAAATTAAAGTTTATTAGTTTCCTTTGTTTATTTATCTAAATTATTTGTTTAATTTAAAAGAAAAACAAACAATTTAATTTTAATAATTCAATATTTTTTTTAATTTTTTTCTTATAAATTCAAACTTCTCAAATGTTTAAAATTTCATATTTTTTTTTTCTTTAAAATGAACCCATGTAATACATGGGTCTTACACCTAATATATATAAAATACAATGCATATATGATGTCATACATTACAAGTTGGCCTAGTGACACATCATATCTATACACTTTTTATCGAGAGGAATGGTAAGAACGTTCAAAATGGATTAACTTGTGAAGTAGAGATGGTGGAATCCCCTTAGAGTAGAGCAAACATTGACATGCCGAGTGCTAAAAGGTACATGAAGAACTCGAACTCTCTCCAAATAATTTGATCACGAAAAAATGGATGTAGATCTAAATATGTTTGGCGTATTGATGTTGCATTGGGTCGGAAGACATGTAGATGATTGTAGCACTCGGTTCTTGGTATGTAATTTATTTTTTGTATTTTGCATTTTGGCCTGGGACTCGGCGAGTTGAAGACCCAACTCGTCGAGTAGGAGTGGGATTGGACATGGGACTTAAGTGATGGACTCATCGAGTCCGCGGCCATACTCGACGAGTAGGCTCTGACTAGACAAAACCCTAATATGAGGGTTTTCACCCTATTTAATCATCTCTTTCAGCCACCACTCATCCCTAATGCTCCCAAAGACCCTCCATAGCAAACCCTAAGTGTTTTGGTGCAAGATCTAAGGCTTTTGAGTGATTTTTGTGGGTTTTGACCTCAAGGAAGAAGGAAGATCATAGAAGGATCAAGAAGAGGCTGAAGGATTCGAGTTTGGTTCATCATTTGCAGTCTTTGAAAGGTATAAAGTCTGTACCTTGCTTGTTTATTTGTTAGATCCCTTTCTGGGGAAAATTTAGGGCTTTTAAGCCATATGAGGTGACCAACCATGATTTGCAAACATGGTTGGGGGTCAATACTTCGGATCTAGCACTTGGGAAGAGTCACAAGACAGATTTGGGTTGCTTTTGCACCCAAGGAAGGCCCCATGCAACAAAAGAGCCATTTTAGAGCCTTTTTGGCTCAAAAGTCCCATGCATGCACGTAAAGTTCGTAACTTTACGTGCTAGATCGAGCTTAGGGGAGTGGATCTATCATTTGGACAAGTGTTGTACATCAGAAATCAAGGATTTAGGGTGTGGACATTATCGACTCGACGAGTCCGTTCTTGGGACTCGATAAGTCCAAGGATTTGATTCCCATATTTGTTGAGGTTTAAAAGAACTCAGTTGGGTGTTAGAAGGGTTATAGCAGGACAAAAGGAGTGATCCAACGCATTGGACTTAGTTTTAGACCTGGAGTTCATGGGACTCGACGAGTGCTAGATCAAACTCGACGAGTCCAAGGCAATCTTCTTATGTTTGAAGATGAACTCGACGAGTTGTTCATACAACTCGGCGAGTCAAGGTCAGGACTTGTTCATCAGATGAAGGTGAACTTGACGAGTTGTTCATACAACTCGGCGGGTCGGATGAAGGTTCATTGATGTTCGTAAAGAAGGGGAACTCTTCGAGTCGTTGCCAAACTCGACGAGTTGAGTCATGGATAAGGCGAGTAAAGGGTAGGGACTCGACGAGTTGACGACCCAACTCGGCGAGTCGGGTCAACTGGAAATTGACTTTGACTTGGTTGGGGGGGGGGGGGTAAAACAGTCAATTTACCCTAAGAGTAGATATCATATTCTGACTAAGTGTTTTGTGGGGATTATAACCGGAGGATTTCTGGAGCAGCAACAGACAGAGGTTTCCCGCGTAGATTTACAGCAGCTACTCGTACGAGGTGAGTTACTTTCCAGCAGGGGTGGGTCTAAGGCCACAATGCCGGCCTACCGAAGAGGAATAATTAGG